GGGGAAATGAGTGGGGCGTGGGAAGCCCACAGGCTGAATGAAAGGCAGAATCACCTGCTCAGCCACGGGGTAGCCAGCGAAACTCCATCCCTCGCGAGCCTAGAGAGCAGAAAGCAGGACTGTCTCCAGGAGGAATTTAGAAGTTGTGACTGGCTTTGGGGGAGCCCAATATTCTGCATTGATTGCTAGGATCCCATATAGTCCCTGGGAGGCCAGCTGGGCAGCCACCCTGGGCCCTGCATTTGGGGCAAGGAGGTCCCCAGGATGCTGCACGTTACTCCTCTTTTCTGAACAGCACTGAGGTTTTATTTTAAAATTTCTCTCTTTACTGATACCCCAAGGGGTCTGTGGAAGTTGTGGTTTCAAGTGCCCTTACCCGGCATGTCACCATCCTGGCTGAGTTGCCTTAGTCTCAGGCTTTCTAGAGAAGGCCCGACCCCTGGTCGAGCAGGGGCCCTGAGCCGTGCTGAGCTGCAGTTCCACCAGCAGCCCGAGCCCCAGCTGGCGTTTCTGAATTCTGGCTGTGTGCTCTACCCGCTATGAGCCCTCCTTGCTCCCACACTTAACGCCTGGCCTCTCTTCACTCTGCCCCTTAATTTGCTTCTGTTCAACCAACTCTTACCTCACTGGCTCCTTCCCCTTCCGCCCCTCATCAGTTTCTCCAGCAGCTCTGCTTTTCTGTCCTTCCTCCTGAACCATTCCCAAATGTCCAGCATCCTAGTAATTCATTTCAATGGTAAAAAGGGCAATTTTACCCAAAAATGAACATGCTTGTGTTTATTTGAAAGATTAGCACAGAAATCAGCCAGTTAGGATAATTGTTTTCATCTTATCAAGGAAAGTAAGATGTTTCTGTGTTTGGTGTCAGATGGGTGCTAGACTTGATTGGGGTGATCAGTTGATAAGGGATATACATTTCTAATCACTATGCTGTACACCTGAATCAAATATAATATTGTTTGTCCACTGTAACTGAAAAATAAATTTTAAAAAAATGTAAAAGTAAGATGTAGTTTTAGAAAAAAGATGGTTTGTTAAGCTTTGTAAGGAAGCAGAGAGCAGGCTGCACCAGCATCTCTGATTGGATGCTAGTGTTTTATTTGAAATGAAATCAGCATATCTTCCATTGCATACTAGCCTAGTTTTAAGTTCATAAATATTTGTTGAGTTGAACAACAACAACAAAAGAATGAATGGACAGCAAGTCTGTTCTTCTCTTTGATAACTGTGATCAGCAGTCTTAATGTTAAGTTGTTAGTGATCCTGCTACTTATATGTTGTCCATGATTTCATTATGGCTTAGGGCATCATAACACTCCAGTTTTTCTACTTGAAGCTTGAAAGTCTATGATCACTCACTTTATCTCTATCAGAGTCTGATTCTAATTCAATATTTTTTAGAATGAGCCAACAAACAAAGAAATAAAAATTAGAAAGGCTAAAACCTTCCTTTTTGTGCAAGGAGACAATGTCCTGAGACTGGAAAACTGCTCTAAGCTTTATAAGTTTGTAATTTTTTTAAATGTGGAAACTAAGTATAGCTCCGCAGTCAAAAGGACAGAGTTTGAATCCTAGCTCCACTGCTTGCGATCTGTGTGACAAACCCAGGGGACATTCCTCACCTCCCTCAGAGTCGGTTTCCGGATCTATACAATGAGAAGTGACAGCAACTACCTTATACAGATAGTGCATATAAATAGTTCAACGCAGTGCCTAGCATATAACAAATATTCAAAAATTTAAGTATAATAAGAGTAATATTAATAATAGTTATTATTATAAAAAGCAAAATAAATCATCATAACTATATATTTACATACATTTATATGTTTAGTTATGGTGATTTATTTTGCTTCTTATAATAATAACATCGGTTATATCTATATATCACAGACTTTCAGGGCTGAAAGATTTCTTCAAGGCTGGAACATTCAGACATTGATGCTTCAGACTCCTCTACAACACTCCCCAACCCTGAAGTGGTCCCCAACTTATGCCTGGTCACTTAGCAGGAATGAAGGAGTTTTCCCATCTTCAGCTGCACCACTGACATTCAACCCACTGTCTTCATCAGCCCCTTGGGGACATGTTAGTGAGGGTGATATGTACGTTTCTTTCTTTTGGCAAGTTTTTCAACTCTGACTCAGCTTCCCTCTCCATAAAACAAGAGTTAGAATCAAAAGATTTAGCCCTTCTGATTATATTGGTCATGACTAGATTGAGACAATCTCTGGGGCTTGGAGTCCATGGAGCTCCCAGTCATGTACACGTTAACACCTCCACCCCCAGCTTCAGTTTCTAGAATGTTCCCACCTTCCTCACACCTAAACACAAACTCCTCCCCGCTCCTTTCTTTTGAGCACCATGGAGTTCATCTTCACTTTTTGCCCAATGAGTAGGTCACATCAGAGATTACACAGCAAGCCTGAGATTACAGCCAATGCAACTGATGTTTTTTGACTTCAGGCAGAAGCTTTTGGCAGCAACATATAAATCTGCCACCATCGGAGGGTTTCTCTGTGGTCTCTATGTTTATTTCCTCTCAGATGGTAATCACCCATCTTTTCCATGTATTAGCCTCTTAATTATGTTTATGATTCAGGCAGAAAGCTTGCTGGTTTATCACCAACATTCTTAGGGTTGAGTGTTTGGTTTGCCCTCGGCTCCTTTCGTGCTTGGCTCCACATGCTGAGGCTCTGGAATCATTCTCGGGCCCTCTGACCTAGTCATAGAGCTCATCTGCCAGTACTTTAAAGACCAGGGTTTAGAAGCTACTGTGAGTACAGCATCATATAAGGACCATGTTTGTATTAGTGTGCTAGGCTCATATGTGCTGGGTAACATCATCTTCTCGATTTCCACATTACCACTACTATCTTAAAAATACCAAAAGAATTACCTTGTTTCTCCAGTGAAATTGAGGGATACTTCCTATTTAACATTTTCCATACCTATTCTATAAGTGGTTTATACCAAAACACTGTACATTAATTGCTTTTCAAATAACAGAGTAGGGAAAGACCCTCTTTCCACAATTGTGTTTAATCTCATAAAAATGTTACAACATCCCAGCATTGACTGTCCTTCATGTAAACTGGATCAAGTGCTTCTCATAATATCAACAGAGTCCACATTCTGTTTTTATTCTCTTTTTCTGGGTGTCTCACACAGCATCCATCACACTCAGTTCCTCTTCTCCCACGGACAACTGTAGGGTTCATTAGGTTTAGTAAAGACATTGACTGAGAAAGAGAAAGGCACATCTTGACCAGTTCATTTTCTTTTTTAAAAAAAATATCTTTAGTGATTTCAGAGAGGAAAGGAGAAGGAGAGAGAGAGAGAAACATCAATGATGAGAGAGTCATTGATTGAGCCCGCAACCCGGGCATGTGCCCTGACCGGGAATCGAACCCCGATCGCCTGGATCCCAGGTCAACGCTCAGCTGCTGAGCCACGCCCGGCCGGGCTTGACCAGTTCATTTTCAAAAGATATCCGTAGCTAATAAGTGGACCCAAGATAATCAGCCAAAAAAACTATTAAAAATAATACAAGAATCCAGTCAGCTTTCAAAGTTAACAAAAAAAAGTAATAACTTTCCTATATGCAAACCATAGCCAATTAGAAAATTTAATTGGAGACAAGATTCCAATTATAATACCAGCAACAGCACGTGGAAGGAAGGAATAAATTTAACAAAAAATGTGCAGGGTTTAATTTTTAAAATCTGTAAAATTATTCTAAGTGACTTAAAAATACTCAAAATAAATGGGAAGATATACCTTATATAAGCACAGCAATTTTGTTAAATTAATCTAAAATTTAATTTAATGTGATCCCAATAAAAACCCAATAGGACTTTCTGGGATTTTGGAGAGAACTAGATTAGCTGTTCTAAGTTCACAGTGAAAAATAACCATGTGGGAATTTCCAGAAAAATTCTAAAGTGGGGCAATTAGAGAAGATTACCTCAATAAAACATTAAAGGGAATTACAAATATAGAAATAAAAACAATATGAAAAGGACAGACTATTGGATAGAATAGAATACAGAAATAGACCCCAAACAAACTCAGATTTAAGACCCAAGCACTTATGTCAATTTTGCATTTGAACACAAGTTCACACAAGTTCAAATGCAAAGTGACTAGGATGGCACTTCAGACCAATGAGCAAAAGCAGCTATTCAATCAATAGAATTGGGACAACTGGCTAGACATTTGGGGGGAGGGGAGGAGCTAACTTTATTTCTTATACAACACACACACAGATTAAATGTAAAAAAAAAAGAAAGAAAGAAAACTAAAGAAATTTGGGGAAATGAGCATTAAAAAATTTATCTTGGGATGGAGTCTTTTCCATATAAAATAAAAAACCTTGAAAC